AAAAAATTGTACATCTTGTAACACATTATGTGGAACATCCATTTTTAAGGTTTTATGTTTATAGATCTACTTAATTTAAACCATTTTTTTAGGTTAAAATCTTATAATTAGATATAAAAATAGATTCCCAGGCCATCCTAAGAATTTTTGCCACTAAAATTATATTTTATGATAAAATTTAGTGATGCACCTTAATTTGATTGTTTAAAGTTGCAATCTTATACAAACCTTACCTAAATATAAATGGTTATCGTAGTGTCACACTACAATAATCATTACATTTCTTACTAAATGTAATTGGTCTTGTAATACATAGTACTTGTATTTAAAATTCTAGAAAAGGGAAAAGAACCACTTATGTAGTAAATAAGTGATAAATTGCATGATTTTTATGAAAATTTGTTAATTAAAAAGCAAAATTAATCTTGAATGAAGTTTGGCACCCCAAATTGGAAAAAACACAGCATTTAATTTCTGTGCAATTTAGTGGAACCCTATATCTGCAATCAATAGCCTTGTTAGTGACGATTTCATTAAATTACGTGAAAGAAAAAGCCGATCTTTCTGAAGATCATCTCTACCGTCCATGCTAAACTGCCGACAATGGAGATTGATTTTTGCGGAATTCATGTTGGAGAACATCTAATAAGACGATTTCCAAGTAGGAATCATTCAAAACAATAATGAGTTGATCTTGGTGCCAACTATCAAGAAATTAAGTTCATAAGAAGTGGTGCTCTAGGGTAGAATTGTGATGGAATTTATTCCAGCCTAATTTTTGGAATGCAAGTTCGTTTTCAATCCATTAAACCTGAGTTCAAATCTCGGTGGGACCTCATCTTTTCAACTTTTTATTATTATTATTTTTAAAGTTCATTTTTAAGCAATTTTCTATATTTGGACAACAGAAAGGAAAAGTATACAATAAGACTGTTTATTTTTTGCGCAAGGAAGTCATGTTCACAACTAACCATTAAATATAACATCAGGTGGTTGGGCGTGTGTAATTGACTGGATATAAAAATTCAAATAAATGTTTTCAAATTGTGTATTTGATGGTTAAGAGTGATTATTACATATTTGTACTAAATCTAAAATTCGCAAGCGATCCACAAAACCGTGGTGTTATTTAAGGCGTTGCATGGGTGAGTGTAATTCTTCAAGTTAGTTTATGTTGGCTTCCCAGGTTCCTTGTCTCTGCATGTAGGCTTCCTAGGATCCTTGTATTTGCGGCTAGAAAATAGAGAGATTTCAACGCCTCTCTTTTATCTCTATCCACCACCACCATCGTCATCATCATGGTTACCAACACAACACCACCACTATCAATCCATCACTAAGCCACCACCGACTCGACCACCGCCACCATCTAGCCACCACCATCACCATGCCTCCCCAACAACTACCACTATTATGGCAGCTGCCAAGCCGATGATACCTCCACTGCGATTACCGTACTGCAGCCACCACCTACAAGCCACCTCTACTGTCTGCCTAACACTAACACTTCCATTGTGGCCACCTACCTACCACCAATCCCACTATTTCACCACCACTGTCTATCATTTACCACCACGACCATTGCATAACCTTCACCACCATTGTCACATTATATTATCACCAGCACATCATCACTACTACCATCACTATGATAC